CATGTTGGCTGCGACACTGGAGCCTTCGGCGGAGCTCACTATGGGGCCACGAAGCGCTGTACTGGATGTGGGAAAAGCATGCGGGCTGCGCCACTGGGACCTTCAGTGGAGCTCCCTATGGGGCCACGGAGCGATGTACGGGGAAAGGGAGACGCGTGCGGGCTGCGCCAGTGGGACCTTTGGTTGAGTTCCCTATGGGGCCACGAAGCGTTGTATTGGGTGTGGGGAACGCATGCGGGCTGCGACACTAGAACCTTCGGTGGATCTCCCTGTGGGGCCACGAAACGACGCACTGGATGTCGGAGAGGTGGCGATAATGATGATAATGATGATGATGATGACGAGGAGGAGGAGGAGGAGGAGGGGGAGGAGGAAGGGGGAGGATGGAGGAGTGAATGGGGAACGGGGGGCGTTGTCTTTTCAAAACGAGGACCCAACACCACAGGATGTTTGGGAACAATACAACGTGCTCGTGGGCCTCACGACCATGACACCAGACTTTGCCCCAAAGTGTTTTTGTATTTTTTTTGACAGGGATGGTGGGGGGGGCGCATCGGGTTGGTTGCGCATGTTCCGAATTTGGAGGCAGAGTGCGTTTTGTGTATTGGTTTTTAACAGGGATGGTGTGGGAGGGGTGAGCATGGTTTCCTCATTGTTCCTGGTTGGCTGCCGGTCGCCTGGGGGATAGGGTGTATACTAATAGGGAACAATGATAATAAACCCGTCCCCGAAGAGGAAGAACTAGGTTGTAAGAGAAACCGCTCTGGACCACCTACGCCCAAAGTGCTCGTGGGACGATAGGTATCGCACGGATTTCAGCATCGAGTGCCCCGGAAACATACGAAAACACACATGACTTTGCAACATAACGCACAGAAAGGGTCTGCGCGCTACCTTCGAAGTCTCAAGAAGACCATGGGCTGCCAAACATTTGTACCAACTGCAACCAAGCGGGCCTCTCGCGCGCGCATGTCGAAATCATTAATGTTCCTTTGTTCGGGGTGCGCGGACCGTGTCAACAAAGACCATGCGGGCCACTCGCGCCCGTCGGCCGCGCGCGCAATGCGAAATCTGTTTCCCAACTTTCATCACTGACACATCGACACAATCATTGCCAGCTGCGTGATCAGCATCGGCGCCGTCACTGACCTTGCCGTCGTCATCGCCATCGCCGTCGCAAGCATCGCTGCAGTCATCATCGTGTCTGCCGTGATCGACGTCGCCGTGATACCCGGCCCGCCCAAGTCACCGACCCGCACTGAACTGCGCGCGCGTTACCGGAGGAGAAAAAACACACAGACACAATTAATCGTCGATTCCCCAAAAAATATTGGAAAATATGGGAAGTCGGGGGGAAGACAGAAACCCAGCAAATATGTGAAACTATGGAGAATACTTTTCTTTGTGTGTATTTATTTGTGTGTCCTTGGGCCCCTTCAAAGCTGCATGTGCTGGCGCGGCCGCAGCGAGGCACCCCTCTTGCGCTGAGCAGTCATCGCAATTGCCGCCACACGGGCTGTGCAAACCAAGTTGCGGGTGGGTGGGAGGATTGCGCGGCCAGCGGAGTTGACAATTCATTGCGAACAACAATCACTTGCACCACGCAGGTTGGTTACGCCCCATCGATTGCGCACTACATATATTTTCCGGTGTTCTAATGTGATCCCCCCCTTTCCCCCGGGTTTATCCGCACCCCCGGGATCATACAATCTACATACGATTATGCCCATTGTTCATTTTGAGTTCTGACCATCCCACGGAGTGCCGGTATCGCCACCCCGTGGCACCCGCGTCAAATGATACTATGCGTTCGCATTCGTTTGTCCGAAATAGCATGCTTTCAAAATCCCCTGCAAAGAAAACGGCTCAACATCGACACGCGCGTGTCATCGCGCGTGCATGCCGATTCTCCCAAAACCATATGTTTCGTCCACGTGTAAAACAATGGTTTCGTAACATTATTGTTGACCTGGGTTATGCGCGCACTCTCTTGCGAATTATTAGAAAAACCATCGGTTGCTCAGCGCTTTAGTCAAATGCGACCAAGCGGGCCCCTCGCGTGCATGTCACAATCGTTCGATCGCCTTTGCGCGCTTGCTGGGGGGCACGATCCTTGTCCAATCGCAAAATTCGGGCCAATCGCGCCCGCCAGCCGCGCGGAGTGAAACATGTTTTCCGAAACCCGCCTGCTGTCGAAATCTGACCATTACACAGTTATCCAAAACCCGCCCGGATTCGAACATACTGACTCCATAAGGACTGGCTCCCGCACCAGATTTCCTCGCGGATTCTCTCACTTGCGAGGCTCCCGCGCGAGACCTCCTCCATATTCAAGCCAGCTGAGCCCAAAACTGACGAGAGTTACAAGTATTCCGAAGCCCGCCCCGATTCGAACATGCAAGGGGGGACCACATAGGGACGGTTTCCCCTCTCGAGACTTCCTCGCGGATTGTTTTACAAGCGAGTTTCCCGCTCAAGACTTCTTCCATATTCAAGCCTGAGGAGCCCAACATTGATGACGGTTACAGGTTGTCCAAAGCCCGCCCGGATTCGAACATGAATGAGGGGACCCCTAGAGAGGGGTTTCCGCTCGAGACACCCTTGCGATTCACTCACAGACGACGCTCTAGTTCGAGATTTCCTCCGTATTGAAGCCTTAGGAGCCCAACATTGATGACAATTACATTTTGTCCAAACCTCGCCCGCACTCGAACATGCAATGGGGGACCCTACAGGGAGGGGCTCCCGCTCCAGATTTCCGCGCGGATTCTCTCACAGGCGAGGCCCCCGCTCGAGACATCCTCCGCATTCAAGCTTGAGGAGCCCAAAAATTGACAAGAGTTACAGGTTTTCCGTGACCCGCTCCGATTCGAACATGAACATGGGGACCCCATAGGGAAAGGGTTCTTGTTCGTGATTTCCTCGCGGATTCTCTCACGGGCGAAGCTCCCGCTTGAGAATTCGTCCACATTCAAGCCGGAGGAGCCTAACACTGACGACAGTTACAGGTTTCTGGTTCTTTCTCGGGTTCAAACATGGACGAGGGGGCACCAAGGGTCTTCCGCTCGAGACATCCTGGCGATTCACTCACAGACAAGGCCTTCATCCGAGACTGCATCCGTGTGTGAGTGACTCAGTGAGTGTGTGAGTGTGATGCTAATGATAATGATGATATTGGCAATGATGATGATGATGATGATTTTGCTGCTGATGATGATGATGATGAGGCTGATTATCATGATGGGTGATGAGTGATGGGTGATTGGTTATGGGTGGTGAGTGAATGTCCATGAGTGGTTGAATGAGTGAATGAGTGTTGTGAGTGATGATGATGATGATGCTGCTGCTGATGATGATGATGATAGTGATGATGATGACGATGATGATGATGATGATGATGATGATGATGACAATGATGGTGATGGTGATGGTGATGGTGATGGTGATGGTGATTGTGATGGTGATGATGTGTGAGTGTGTGAGTGAGTGATCAGGCGGAAGGGGGGGGCGAGATCTTGCCGCGGGGGGGTGCGAAGAAGACCCCCCCAACTTAGGATGTGGGGAATGATGACGAGTGTGTGAATACGTGTGACTGTGTGTGTGTGTGAGAGTTCAAATGGTGATGGTGGTGATGGTGATGGTGATAGTGGTGGTGGTGGTGGTGGTGGTGGTGGTGATAGTGGTTGTGTGAAGGATGGCGATTATGATGATGAATCTGATGATGATGATGAGGAGGAGGAGGAGGAGGAGGAGGAGGATGCGAGTTCCACTGGCACGCACATGAGTGAGAGGTGTGGAAGGAGAGAGGAGGAGAGTAGGGGTGAGGTGAGGACTGCGCGGGGTGCCCAGAGAGACCAAGAACCCGACTTCGGATACAGAGAAAAAAAACGATGTTGCCAAACCATGTGCTGGTCTATGTTTTCGGGGCACTCGATTTTGAAGTCCTTTCGACACCTGAAGGTTTTGAAGGATGTCGGCATGCGCGCGCGACGACGCGCGCGCGTGTGCACTTGGCCCAGTTTTTTTGGTATTGTAATGGGCTCATGCTGTTTTTTGATATCTGGAGTGCGCGCATGTGTTTTTTTGCGGAGGATGGTGGGCGAGGGGTCGATTTGGGTTTGGCTGGGGTGGTGTGGTTTCAGGTTTCAAATGATCGATGCGACGGAATCATTTGTTAATTGCGTATCCCCAGGGGGGATCCATCATCTCGGCCTCGGGGGGGCGGTGGATCCTCATTCTGTTTCAGAACAAGGAATCTCCAGGCGGCGACGGGGCGGCGACGGCGGAAGCATAGCCGCAAAACCGCCAGAGAGGCCCATCGGACGGGCGGCGACGAGGCGGCGACGGGGCGTCAGCGGCGGCAACAGAGCCGCGAGACCGCCAGACGGATCCAGCTCCAAAGAACACAAGCAAGAACCTCTAAGTGCGAGCACTGTTTTGGGAAAAGGGCACAACGCACACCAACCGCTACGACCGCGGTGGCGGACGATGTCTTTGCGCGGTGGCTCGCCGTGGATCTAGGCCTCCCAGATGGGGTCCGAGCAGATGCGGTCGGAGGATCGCGCCGCATCGCAGATGCATCGCCGATGCGGCTCGATGTGGAACCCGATGTTCTCCACGCCGACGTCGCCGATTCATCGCCGTCCGACCCAATGCTTTGGGACCCTATCAAGGAGGCCTCTAAGGAAGGAAGCGGACCCCAAGGGAAACGTGTCCTGATGTTTTTCGCCGTTTGGGGTTTCCTAAGCCCCTCCACGGTCTCCGGCACTGTGAGAAGTCAGGCGAGGCTGGGGACAGGCCCCAGGCTCCTGGATTCATTTCCCTCAGGACCCGTTTCCTTCAAACCAAGGTGGTTGATGGGTGACAAGATGACCAGCGTGACCCAAGCAGCAGCAGCCGTGCCCTCCAAACATCGCAGCGATCGGCTGCCAGAGGAGATGCCGGACGTGGTGAACATAGACGTCGGCGGCTTCAGGTTCAGCACCCGCCTGGCCACCGCAAACTCGTGCCCGGACGACTCCCCGCTGAAGAAGGCGCTTCTCCAGCAGCCCGGAGAGTCAGGGCACTGGGGGGAACAAGCAGACACGCCGACTACACGTATACGAGTGACCCTTCGCCTGAGTGACCTTCGGTGCGGGCCCACCGGGGTTCCCCGATCGCTGAGCGCGAATCGGCAGCAGCGGCCTGCGCGCCAGGGCTTGGCCGCCCCCGCGCCCCCCGATAAGCCGCGCACCAACGGCCACTCTTACCAAGGGTCACTCTTGCGTGTAGCCGAAAACGCACACACCGCGGCTCGGGGGGCCCGCCCCAGGAAGCGCGCTCTGGCCAGGGCGCGCATGCAGGGGGGAGGCGGACCGTGGCGACAAGGGCTCCCCCCGGGAGGCCTGGAGGGCGAACGCGAGGGGCTGGCACGGCGTCCGGCTGCACACCGGAGCGTGCTCCTTTGCTGCTTGGGGCACGATGGGCATCATAGCCCCCGCCCCCCCCCCCCCCCCTATAACGCAACGCCCCTCCCCACCCCCCCCAGTGCGCTCGGGGCACTGCCGCCGTGCGCACGGCGGGGGGCAGGCGTGAAATCATACCCCCCGCTGGCCCCTCCCCCCCCCCCCCCTACAGTACCCAAAATCGCCGAAAGTGAGGAAGCGCGCTGCACACAGGCAGCCTCCCCAGGCAGTTCCAGCGAGCCTTAACAGGCCCCCCCCCCCCCCACCCCCCCCGTCAGCAACCCCAGCCGGCCTCAGCTTGCCCCCCGAGTAGTCTGGGGCGGTCTCAACACCCCAACCCTGGGGCGCGGAGCGCCCCAGGGGCGCCGCCGAAGGCGCGCGAGGGTGTGGACGCCGCCCCCAGCCGGGACTGCTCGGGAGCCCTGTGGGGCCAGCCCCGACTCGCTGAGGGGGCCGTCTGCGCGCAGCCGGAAGCCCTGCCACATCGGCATCGGCGACTGTGATTTCCCGATTCCGAGGTACACGTTCATAGACCGCGATGGTCGCCATTTCCACTACGTGCTCAACTTCCTGCGGGACGGCTCCGCGAGGTTCGCGAAGCCAGTCGACGCGGCGTCGGCCAGGGAGCTCTACGTGGAGGCTTGCTACTACAAGCTCTGGGACTTGGCGCTCGCCATCCAGGAGTGGAGCCAGCTGGGGCCTGAGGCGGCCCAGCACTGGCTCCGGCTAGCAGAAGTCAGGGGCAACGATAGGGTGCGACAGGCACAAGGGGGGATGCATGGACCTGGAATGGCTAAGACATCGATGATACATCGACGATGCATCAGCGATCTCCGGGCATTCCGCCCAACTCATGTGCGCTCGCTTGGTCCGCCAAGGAAGTGGGCGATGCGTCGGCCACGTATCGGCCGTTCGAGGTCGATTCATCCCCGCCTGTGCCTATACACCCCCCTCATCGTCACCCGTCAGGAAAGGGGGGAGAAAGGGGCCCCTAGTCGCCATTGCCGGGCACGGCTCAGGGAGGTGGTCAGACTCGACCCCAGGAGGGTTCTGGGGCCAGATTTTTGAACGCACTTGCCCTTTTCTCTGCCCCCTCTCGACACGTGGGGCGCCCCAGAATTGAGCCTCGCCCTCGAGGGCCGAAGAGGAGTTGCCAGCTCTTCCTCGGCGGCCGGGCGGCGGAAGGGCGGCGGGCGGGCGGCGGAGGTGGGACGGGAGCGGTGCCGCCGGCGGAAGCCGGCGGCGGCAGGCCGGCGGAAGCCGGCCGGAAGAGACGACCTCCTCGCAAGATGGCAGCACTGTTGGTTTTATGTCGGGCGTGTCCCCCTACAGGGGGATTTTCGACGGGGCAAAAAAAATACCCCAAACATAGAAAAAATATACCAAAATAATATGGGGATTTTTTTTTGTTTTTGTTACCCTTTCGGGGCATTTTTGGAGTTTCTTTTTTTCCTCGAAAATCCCCCTGTAGGGGGACACGCCCGACATAATATTGGTGCCCAGGGCTTCAGGAATCCGCCAGCTTCTTTCTGGGCAGGTCTGGCTCAGACCTCCTGGCTGGCTCCGAATCCAGGAGGCCTACCCGGGGGCGCCACAGCCCGACAACGAGCAGGCTCGATTGGCTAGGCTGAACGAGCTCGGCATCATGCACACGGACGAAACAGAGAGCGCGTACGACCACATCACCACCCTTTGCAAGTCTCTCCTCGACATGCCCATCGTTCTCGTGAGCCTGGTGGGCGAAGACCACCAGTGGTTCAAATCGAGGTGTGGGCTTGGAGCCACCCAAACGCCCAAGAACACCAGCTTCTGCGCGTTCAGCTTTTTGCCCCAGGACCCACAAGTATTAGTGATCGAGGACGCCGTCAACGACTTCAGGACATGCAGCAACCCGTTGGTTATCGGAGAGCCGTTCATCGGCTTCTACGCGGGCTGCCCCTTGGTAACCTCCGACGGTTTCCGCCTGGGCGCCCTGTGCGTGATCGATCACAAGCCCCGGAAGCTCGCGCAATGGCAGTACCAGACCCTGGTAAACCTTGCCCACATCGTTGTCCAGGAGATCCAGCGAGCCGAGCTGGAGAGGGCAACTAATCTGGCCGACGCCACGGTCGTGGAGGAGCTGGGGAAGAAGCAGCAGACAGACGTAAACCTGCGGAGGTCCGCGCGCGGATTTTTCTTGGACCCGCGCTGCACCACCTTGGCGGCGCTTGCTGCGCCGCCCCTGGCGCGCTCCGCGCGCCAGGGAGGGGAGGGCCCCAAGAAATCCGCGCGGACCTACGCAGGCTTGCGCTCAGCCGCGGACGACTCGTGTGCACCGTACCGCGCTGGGCGTGTCTCGAGGCGGCGCCGCTGCCCGATCCGGGACGTGCACGGGGCCTAGTCCGTCGGCCCCTTGGGCCGAACATCTGCGCACCGCGCCGCGTTATTATGGGGCGGGCCCGACGGGAGTTCGAGGTGTCTGGGGCGCCACCCTCGCTATGCCGTTGTGGCTTCCCCTGAGGAGTGCGAGGTCCATCAGTCCAATGACAGCGTCGCCTCGAGGAGGGAAGCCTGGCGTGCCTTCGGCAGCGCCCCGACGCGGGCGCTGAGCCGCTTCGGCTCGGGGCTGCCGCGGCTCGGCAGGATGAAGGAGTCCCTCCGGGAGATGACCTGCCTGGTGCAGGCAGGCCCCCTCCTCCTCCTCCTCCTCCTCCTCCTCCTCCTCCTCCTCCTCCTCCTCCTCCTCCTCCTCCTCCTCCTCCTCCTCCTCCTCCTCCTTTCCTTTCCCCTCGCCTGATGCCTCGCCGTGCGTTTCCTCGACTTCCAACGCGGGGCCACGAGCTCCGCCCTCGGCACCGGCGGGCGCGCAGGGGCGCACGATCCGAGCCCCTGCGATGCCGCCGAGCCCCGCGCGTTCGCGGACACACGAGCCTCGCCCGCGCGAGACGCGAGCTCTCCCCGGCAGGAGCACGAGCCCGTGGGGAGAGGCCTCCTCCTCCTCGTCCTCCTCCACCTCCCTCCTTCGGGGAAGGGGACAGGGACCAACCAGTCAGCGTGCTCATTTTTCGGCCACGCCCCACCTCTTGATCCGCCTGCGATCCGCCATCTGCTGGCCTTTGGTCCCCGCTGGCTGCGGCCGTCCTCCTGCCTCCCAGACCCCCGACGTCTCGACCCGTGCCCGGAACCGGCTTCTCGTCCCGAATCAATGTCCGACGGTCCCCGTGCCCGGCGAGAGCCCCGAGATGCCGAGTATGGTGCAGAATTGCCCGTGGCGATTCGCTCACCCCCGCGAGGGGGTCTGGGTCCTCGCCTCCTTCTCCGCTGCCTCCTCCGCCTCCTCCTCTTCGTTCCGCTCCCCTCCGTCTCCCTGGCCTGCTCCTTCCTGGGGCCCCCTGAACTCCTCCCCCCCGGGGAGAGGGCACGCCTGGCGCAGGCAGACGGGGGGACGCGGCGCCTCCCTCCTCCTCCCTGGGCTCGTCCCTCCTCGTCCTCTGTCTTTCTCGCATGATTTCTTCCGGGTCGGGCCTGGCGAGCTCTCTCGTCTCCTCCTCCTCCTCCTCCTCCTCCTCCTCCTCCTCCTCCTCCTCCTCCTCCTCCTCCTCCTCCTCCTCCTCCTCCTCCTCCTCCTCCTCCTCTCTTCCGTAGCCATTTTGGCTCAAGCCATTCTGGCTCAAGTAAAACTTTTCTCGAGGTTGGTCCAGGTTGACCACATTGGGTTTTCTCCGATCAGAAGACTTGCCCAGGGTGGAGAAAGTGTTCGTGTGTGCATTTTGCCGTCGGAGCTAGAAGGATTACACCCGTCAGTCCAGCCATGGCGGATGCTGCCGCGCTGCAGGCGCTCACGGCGGCAGTGAACAACCAATCGGTGCAGATGACGACAGAGCTTTCCACCATGCGAGCAGCCATCGACGCCTACCAGAATCGTGCAGCGGCATCGGAGACATCTATCGGAGTCTTGAGCGATGCGCAGACCAAGACTTACGAGGACATGCAGACCATGATCACGGGCATCAGCACGTCAAGGGAGGCTCGCTTCCATGGTCTCGAGCAGCGCTTGGAGGAAAATCTTGCCTTCCAGGACTGTACCGACGACCAGATGGAGGATCCCGCGAAGTTCAGCAAAGTGCAGGCCTTGATAGATGGGAAAGTCGCATCGCTTCAAAGGCAGCTCAACACCCTTTCCTCGTCCAGCGTCTTACTATTGCTACAGCATCTTCATCGGTCTCTCGTGCGAAGATGAGGCGCACAGAAGCTGGGCCTCCTCCACCGAATGCGCGTGATGACGAGATCGACCCCTGTCGTGTGTGGGTAAGCGGCTTCCCTCGTGCTATTCTCGAGGGTCATCGCCGTAACCACTTTGAGGCCGTCAAGCAGAAGATTGCGGAGACCGAGCCGACCCTTGGCACGGAGATCACCGCGAAGTTTCACCAGGTTTCTATGTCGTACAGCATCCACTGCGACTACGACCAACACGCGAAGAACTTACGCTCCTGGGCCAACCAGCACTTACCTGGATGGTTCGACCCTCGCACGAAGAGGATGGTGCCCCTTCGCATTCGCCCCGATATGCCACTTCAAGCTCGGCTTCGCCAACGCACATTGTCTCGTCTCTGGCCACACGTCTTGAGCAAGCTCCAGATACTAGGGAAGTGGGCGCCCGACTCCAACAAGCTCGGGGTCAACGGAGCTCGCGGCGAGTTCAGCATCATCGACAACAGCATGGATGACCATTGGGTGCTCTTCCACACGGCCGAGGAGAGTGACAACCAGTACAGCATACAGCCGAACATCGACAACCTGCAGGAGTGGGGGATCAACGCCGAGGATGCGAATAAGCTCATCCAGGTCGCAACCGACACCTCCAGCGATGGCTTCATCTAGGAGCCTGCCCTGCCAGCGTCTAGTCTTGTAGAGATGTTCACAGATCTACCAGTCAGCAGCACAGCAGTTCTCTCTCGTCCTCTGCCTCCTCCTCTGATTGTGACGATGCACGGTCACAGTCACAAGTGAGTAGTAGCTATAACGGGCCCCCCACCAGTCTCGCTCCCCTCTCTGGGCTCTATGGATCCTCTGGTCTCAAAATCATTACGTGGAGCTCGCAGGGGCTCTTTGGGTCTACTCATGGACATCGCGGAACTACTGCTGGAAAACACTCTCGACTGCCTTCGCTTTGCGCTCATCCTGGTGTTGTAGGCGCGCAAGAAACTCATGGGTGCGCAGGGGACCTCGTCGACATCAAAAACTAGTCGCCTCATCGTGGGATCTACGGCTCGTTTGACCCACACTCGCATATTCGGGCTGGAATGCTCCTGGTCATTCATCCTGTCATCCTGGCCAAACTTCGGGACTTCCGACACTTTGTGGTTTCTCCTGGTCGCTGCCATGGGATTCGTGCTCAGGCGGATTCTGGAGAAGTCTGCTTTTTCAATGCCCACATATATTCCAAGTTGAGCAGAGCTGAGAAGCGTCAGCTCTTACTGAGGATCCGTCAGGCGACGCGCCCACAATCGCAGTCGCAGACGTTTCTGCTGGGCGATTTCAGCTTCTCGGCCCCAGGCGAGGGCGTCCAGTATGTGAGTGGCGAGATCCACCAGATGGCCGTCGACGGCCTTGCGCGCTTCTTTGAAGTTCAGTTCCCCGACCTGCCTGAGGTTGAGCAGCTCTTCCCCTCCCACAGGATCACTACCGAAATAAATGTCATGCGGACCGTCACAGCGTTAACCCGCATCGACAGAATCTTCACAAACTCATACACAGCCGAAATGTGCGACTATCATCCACAACCATGTACAGTCTGGGATGTATGCGATCTTCGGGCCCCCAGTGATCACTGCCCTGTACTCCTGACCTTGAGGCTTTCTGGACCCTCCTCTAACCCCACGGTGCCCTCTAGGATCCCAAAGCATCGTTGGTATCCTGCTGCTCTTCAACACATTATAGCTGATGTAGATTTCTCCGAAGACCCTCCCACCAGAGTGGAAGAACTCAAAGAATGTATGCACCTCGCGGCTACACGTATTCGTCAGCAGACTAAGCATTGTCCTCTTGAGTCTCCTGCTCAGCATTTGTCGTGGCTGTTCACCATCAATCGCGCCATGCACAGCGGGCGCGAGCACGTGATCAGGCCAGCCTTTAAGATATTGCCGAAGCTCGACTCGTTCGTGGATAGGGGCACCTGCATGTGGATCAATAGGCATGGGTTTCATCAACACATGGGGGAGGTGGCGAGAGGAGGTCTCGAGGAGGAGAGGAAGGAGCTGATGCAGGAGTTTGTCCCCGAACGTTTTCGAGATGCACGGCTGGCCAAGATTCAAAGACTGGTCCAAAGTTGGGCTCCTCGGAACCGCAAGATGGCCCTCGCAGGAATTCGTGCCCCTGACGGGTCTCGCTACCCCTCGCTCGAGATAGGTGCCGATGCGCTTCGCCAGCATTGGGCCAAAGTACATCGCGCTGCTGAAGCCTCTCACGAGGTCGCCGCCGAGCTCACCCCGTTCATCCAGCCCGTCAGCCCTGCTGTCGAGCGGCAGCTTTCTCGGGATCGTTTCCATCATATGGTTAGCCGCTTTCGGGATTGCGCGCCTGGCCCAGGTGGGCTTTGTTATTCTGCTTGGAAGGATGGAGGTGGATTTGTTATCGACGCTTTATATGATCTCTACTGCTATTCCCAGACAGGTGCCCCCCTTGCTGAGGACTTCAACAAAGGTTTGATGGTGTTTATCCCGAAAGGTTCCCACCAGGAAGATGTGAATAGCTTTTGGCGTGCTCCCGATGATTTTCGTCCGATAACAATGGGCAACACGGATGCGAAGATCCTAGGCTCGGCATTGAACAAAGCCCTCTCTGACCAGTGCGAGTTAGGCGCCAGTGAGGCCCAGAACGGCTTCGTTCGCACCCGTCAGATGTCTGACAACATTCTGAAGCTCGAGTGTAACATGCTGCGCTATGGCATCCTGCAGTGCGTCAAGAGTGCCGGCTCTGTCCTGCTGGACGTAAAGGCGGCCTTCCCGAGTCCACTGCGCTTCTGGATCGAGTTCGTGATGTCCACCATGGGAGTTCCGAGCTTTTTCCTGAACTCGGCCAGGGCCCTGTATCGCAAAATCTCCGTGGACATGCTCCTGGGTGGCCGTCGATTTCCTGGATTCGAGATCTTCCGAGGGGTTCGTCAGGGGTGCCCGATGTCTGGAAGTATTTTCGTGCCTTGTCTCGATCCAGTATCTCGACATATCCAAAGCAGATTGCCGAGCCCCCAGCACTCACTGAGTGCGGTCGCTGACGATGTGGCCTTCTTCTCTCGGGATCTGCACTGCGCCCTGCCGGTGCTGATGCGCCTCCTGGCCCGTGCGTCGTGCGTCGCAGGTGTCGCCCTGAACCTCTCCAAGTGCGTCATTGTGTTCTATAGGCAGGAGATTGACCGAGAGGAGGAGCTGAGGAGGCTCCAAGCCCAGGGAATTCGAGTTCGTAAGTTTCCTATCCAGAATTGGGGCAAGTACTTAGGCATCCACCTAGGCCACAGAGGTTTGGAGCGCTCGTGGACCAGTCCTATCGCCAAGTATTTTGAGCGATGCCGCTTTATCCGCTCGATAGCTGGAGGCCTCCACCAAGCTATCATGGCATATAATTCCATCGCCATCTCCGTCCCATTGTTCGTCGCCTCCTTCTTTGCCCCCCAAAAGAAGC